GGGGCTATCGCCAGTCTATCTGCCCATTTATTGCAGTTAGTCAGGAACCCTGGGAGGTCAGAGTGCCCCCAAAGGTGTATCCCCTAAAGGCAACTTAGGCAGAGACTGCTTGGCCCTCATCAGGGAAGATGCAAATGGCTTCCCAGATGGGCTCAGATGGAAACAAGGAAGGCATCTTAAGGGGGAGTCTCTGTAAAAGAGGAGCCCATTTGGATGGTCCATAGTGGCAATCAACACTTCCCATAAATCCTCCTAAGCTGAGGGCAAGGTGGGTGTTAGCCGGAGCAAGCCATTAAACATCCCCCACCCTGAAGGGGAAGCAATGGTGTGAGGGTCTAGCCCATAGTGACGCTGGGCTTGGGTCCTGCCCTTTATGATGGCATCAGCGAGCTGATCTGCCTAAAAGTAGACCCCAGGGTATTCCTCCCAAAGATGTATGGATCCATTCCAACATCTCCTCATCCTGGGTTAGAACCGCTGTAATCAGGGAGGCTCCAGCAAATAGCTAAAGGGACAAGGGCCTAGTCATTGAATACCTCCTTAGAGAGCATTTGTCCAAGGCCTTCTGAAAGACAAGGAGCATCCTTGTCATAGTTATACTATCATAAGGTGCCTTGTCCTTTAGCAGGACGTACAGGGGTACCAGGTCTTCTGTGGGGATTGACACCCAGGATCTCAGCCAATTAATCTCCCCTAGTAAGCACTGGAGCTGTGTCAGGGTCATAAATTCAGGCACCTCCAGAGCACGCTTAAGTGGGCTAGCCTGTGTCAGCATGAGGCACAACCCAAGTACTTTGAAGGGGGGCACCTTTTGGACCTTTACTGGGGCAACAGTAAAGCCCCCCTTTTTAAGCAATTGGAGCGCCTGTGTCACAAAGCCCTCCAGATATGCTGGATCCCGATATCCCAAAATTAAATCATCCATATAAGCAAATATTATTGAATCCCTTGACTTTAACATAGGCCTTAAGAGAGTAGCAAGATACTGTTGACAGAAACTATCAGCCATTCTCTGTGGTAACACTACCTATTCAAAATGTTCATCGGGTTTGTAATAATTAAGCGAAGGAACAGAGAAGGCAAATTTATAAAAGAAGCAATCCTTAATATCAATTACTGCAAATGTCTGTTCTGTGGAACAGAAGGAGTCCAGGGCATGCCCATTGAGGGGGTTCCCACTAGTTCCAACCTCTCATTTATCTGAGAGTATGTACCAAGACCAGAATGCCTTTTGCATTACAAACACCAGAGTGTTCCATGGGCTCACAGAAGGGCGGATATGTCCCAGCCTTAATTGTTCATCCACTAGCTGAAGGAGTGCTAGCAGCTTAGGTTTAGTCAGTGGCCACTGCTCCACCCATACAGGTTTTCCCAGTGCCCCTCTGATAGGCAGCACTTGGGGGGCAATGGTCTTTATGATTGGGGATATGCCCAGATAGACCTCTCAGGCTCCCCCCTGTAGTGGAGGTTGAAAAAAATCCTTCTCTGTGACCCCCTTTAGGTCCTTTTTCACCCTTTGTGCCTCTTTCTCTTCCTCAAAAGAAAGCCCGATGATCTGTGGTCACAACAGCATCCATTTGGCCTAGCATGTCCTGCCCCAGCAAATTGGCAGTAAGGCCTTTGACCACTAAGGGGTATATCTTTCCTTGGTCCCTGTCTGGCTGGTCCAGCACATTAAGGTTATTGTTTCTCTTGATTGGGAGTTACCTCCTACCCCCAAAACCGAAGGCTCAGGTGCAAGCTCCCAGGTGGAAGGTACTTCCTCCTCCTGGAGTACTGTCCTATCTGCCCCTGTGTCTACCAAATAGTGAAACTTCATACCGCCTACAAAAACGGTCATTTTTGGATGAAGTCCTTCCATCAAGGGGACAGTCCAGTAGCCTTGAGACCTTCCAATCCTACCTTTAGAAAGACTTCCTCCCTTTTTTTTAACGGGGCTGGAGGCTGCCCCTCCCTCTAGTTTAAAGGCTTTCCCTCCAGGTCAAATTTTTATCTACAGTCCTTCTTCCAATGGTATCCCTTCCTGCACTGAGGGCATGGGGTAGAGGGGGGCTTATCCCCTCCTGGCCTGTTGAGGGGGCGCAGAGGAGGGTGTTGAGGACAGTCTCTTTTAAAATGTCCCCCCTGCCCATATCTAAAGCATGTCCCTTTTCCCAGCAGCCCTTAGGACCCTTGACCCTGGGTTTCCAGGGCCTGGGTGATGGCCTCCGTCATGGCAGTCATCTGTGCCTGTAAGGCCAGGGCCAAAGACTGGGATTGGTGTTGCTGGGTTCCTATATCTTGGGAGGCTACCACCCATCTGCTCAGGGAACTGTCTTTTAATCCCATGCAGACCATTCTATCGTCCTCATTCATCCCTTCCCATACCAACAGCCTGATAAATTGTTCTCTGAGGTCTCCAGGCAGCAGCTTGCACTGAACATTCTGTTGGACCCAGTCTATAAACTCTGGCAATGGCTTGTTGGGCTACTGCCTCACATCAGCTATGGGGTACTCGGTAGGCGCATCATCCAGTTTAGCCCAGGCGTTCAACCCAGCCTGCATCACCTGATCCCAATATGACCCAGGGATCCCTGCTTGCTGAACTCCAGTGGAGTAACCATCTCTCATTCCCGACAGCATAGCATAGGAAATAGGAATGGTGGAGTTAACTTGTCTATTTGCCTCAGCTTATACCCTACATTCCTCCTTATCAAAGACACACCATTTGATAAACTGAGAACTAGGGAGGACTGCCGTAGCCACATCCAGCAAGCCAGTCCTTAGGGGATGACAGGTGATGTCCTGCAACAAGGTCTGTGTCATCTTCCGCCACAGCCTTCAGAGCTCTTTAAGATCCTTGGCTTCCCAAGGATACCAGTCTAAAGACCTGCCTGGCCCAGAGGCCAAGTTTACTGGGTAGGTTTGGGGGGCCCTAGTTACCTTCTCCCATCCCTCCTTGATTGGGTAGGCCTCATAAACTGGGCCTCCAGGTCTCGACCTGCCATTGTCCAGTCGATCATAGGGGTCCAGGTCCCGCGGATTTTCTCTGAGGGTGGCATAGTGGGACCCAGCCTCCTCACTCCTAGAAGCACAAGGCAGGGGTCTAGAGTTATCTGGGGTGGATGGTTCAGCCCATTCCTCCTCCACTTCATCTTTGGCAGACCTCTCCAGTCCTTCTCCTTCTCCCTTCTTACTGAAAATAGTTACCCATACTGAGAGTCTCACTTACTCTTGGCCTCAGCCAAGATTTAGATCCTTTGTGCCCCAAGTTTGGGTACCAGATGCAGGGTCTTAGCCCAACCACAGAAGGTTGAGCTGGGTCTGAGGAAGAGTAAGTGCACTACTGCCGGTTTCCCAGCCTGGTAGAATCCTGGAGACAATCAGATGCAGCAGGGAGTCTAGTCAAGCAGGAACACATTTATTGGCCCACAGCAAGCTGCTTTTAAAGGAAAAAAAAACACAGAGTGGAAAAACAGCCAGCCAATGGCTTTAAAGGTCACTCTATCATGCCCCTAGGTGCCCTACGCTTTACCTAGTGAACACGAGCTGTTCATGCAGTGACCTCATCTGGTTCCATCTAGGCAACCAATCATCTTTTTTGTAAACAACTCAGGACTCACTCGTCTGACTTTCCCTCAGCACCATCTTTGACTGGCTCGTGTGCCCTACACTCACAGACAGGCATTACCTCTGAGTAAAGGGTTGGGAAAAAAATTTCCAATCAAATAGACCTAAGAAACAAGCTGGTGTATTTATGCTAATATCTAACAAAATAGACTTCAAACTGAGTTTAGTTAAAAGAGATGAAGAATGTCATTTCATATTAATCACAGTAAAAATCCATCAAGATGAAGTCTCAATTTGGAGCATCTATGCCCCAAATACAAGGGCACCCTCATTTATAAAAGAAACATTACTAAAACTTAAATGACACATCAAGCCCCACACTTTAACACTCTGTTCTCACCACTGGACAGGTCTGCCAGAGAGAAACTTAACAGGGAAATAAGACAACTAAAAGATGTTATGACTCAAATGAACTTAACAGACATCTATAGAACATTCCACCCAAACACAATGTGGGTGATAGTTATGTGACTTGATCTGTTGGGAGGGGGCTGAAAGTGGCACCAGGACATAACCCAGGGGCATAAAGTGGCTTTTTGGAGCCCACTCCCTATGGTGAGTTACCCTGCTCAGCTCTGATACAGGGGACAGGGTCTTGGTCCTGCCACCACTTGGTATGCCAGTCTTTGTTGACACCCCAAGGAAGGCCTCACCCCTTCTGAGGAGTAGATGGGAGTTGGGAAAAGTGGGAGGTAGGGGAGAGAGCAAGGGAGGGGGTGGGAACTAGGGTTGGAGTGTAAAATAAAAAATAAATGCTTTAAAGAATAAAAAAAGAATGCAGCTTTTATGAATCATCACCAATCCCAGGGTGGGTTTTTCAAGTGGCACAATTGCCTTTGGATTATGCTCCTGAAAGTAATCCTAAATCACTATTCTATTGCTGTGAAGAAACATCACAACCAAGACAACTCTTATGAAAGCATTTAATTGGAGGCTGTCTCATAGTTTCAGCGTTAGTCCATTATCACTTGGCAGGAAGCATGGCAGTATGCAGACAGACACGGTGTTGGAGAAGTAGCTGAGAGCTGTGTATCCTGATCCACAAGCAGAGTGAGACTGGGTCTGGCACAGGCTTTTAAAATCTCAAAGTCTACCCCAACACATCCTCCAAGGCCACGCCTTCTAATCCTTCTCAAATAATGCCACTCCCTGGTGACTAAGCATTCAGATACATGCACCTATGGACCATTCTTATTCAAACCACCAGAAACCCCTAACACTTGTTCCTATAAATAACCCCTAACACTTGTTCCTATAAGTAACCTATAAGTTCAGTGACTCACAAAGCTCTATTTGGATGGAATCATTTCTATGATCTGTTGTCACTGCCCTACATAGGGTAAATAGCTGTTATTCTGATTGCCCCCCCAAAAAAGCTAACACAACACAAATCATTAGTACATATACACTGAAGTATTCAAAACATCACAAGTACATCCATAGAAACACCTAAAATCCATGGCTCTGTGAGCACTTGAGATTTGAGAACATATGGAAACATTTGCCATAATCCATACATGTAATTTGTATTCAGTGTGAACCACATTTAACATAGGTAGTGAAATACATTTTTTAGGGCTACTATTTCTTTTCTTGAAGTTATTCTCTACTGTGAGATCACAGGTGAACATTAAATTATTTAGCAGGCATATAACTGCTACACATATCATATCAATAGTGTTTTGCTCTATTGCAGTTGTTCACATACTTTGCAAAGCCTGAGAAAATAAGAAAGTTTCCATGTTACATTATATGGTCTCCTCCTTGCCAGATTGTGAACTTTTCCAAGTTCATTACATTCATGGGGCATCTTGAGTGTAAGGTCCTTATGCATTTTAAGATTTATTTTTAATTATGTGTATATCTGTGTGTGAGGCACTTGCAAGTGTCCACAGGACCCAGAGTCATCAGCTCTTCCCTAGAGCTAGAGTTACAGATGGTTATGATGTACTGTTGTGGGTGAATCTGTTAAGCCACTTCTGGGACAACTGACTACCTGTGTTGAGCTCAAAAACGTGAATACTTCTTAATGGGCTTTTCTCATTCTTTACATGAGTTTCACTCTGTGATTATTATGTTCCACATGATCAGAATAATAAGTAAAGTCTTTCTCATATTCTTTCCATTTACAGTTTATATCCACTGAAGTATGAACAATGAAAGCTTTCTCAATTCCTAATAATCATAGGGTTTCTCTACAGTATGTGTTCTTAAGTGTTTAGTAAGGGCTAAGTGCTCAGTAAAGGCTTTCCCACAGTTGTTACATACATTGGGAAGCTCTCCAGGGTGCACATTCATATGACTACAAAAGATGGAAGAATGCCTAAATGCTTTGCCACGCCCTTTATACTCTAAGGGCTTCTCTCCAGTGTGAGTTCTCAAATATGCATTAAGAGATGAGGAGGAAACATGCCTTCCCACACCGTTAAGAGGTTTCTTTTCTGTGTGACACCTTAGATGTTAAAGATGTGAGGAAGGAGTGAAGGTATTCTGACATTCTCTGCATTCATATGACTTTTCCCCCAATATGAGTTAGTACATTCACAGTAAAGCTAGTGGGGCCACCAAGGGCTTTTCCACAGTCCTTACTTTGATAGGATTTTAATTCAGTGTGAATTCAGAAGTGCATCTTAAGGCATGCAAATTTCTAAGAGATTCTGTACATGTCTTATATTCAAAAGGCTTCCTAGCAGTATGAGCTTTCATATGTTAAGCTAATGACTGCTCTCCCACATTGCTAATACAGGTAGGGATTCTCTCCATTGTGTGTTTTTATGTGTCTGTTAAAGCAGGAGCACCCATTGACGGCATTCCCACAATCCTTACATACATAGGGTTTCTCTCCAGAGTGAGTTTTCATGTGTCTGCAAAGGTAAGAAGACCGTGTAAATGCTTTCCCACACACTGTACACTCAAATGGCTTCTCTCCAGTGTGAGTTCTCAAATGTGCAGTTAGATACGAGGAAGATGCAAAGGCCTTTCCACACTGATAGCATTCAAAGGGTTTCTCTCCCGTGTGACTTCTTATGTGTTCAATAAGGCCTGAGGATGTTCTGAAGGCTTTCCCACATTCCTTACACTCATATGGCTTCTCCCCAGTATGAGTCAATACATGCGTGGTAAAGCTAGTCCGTCCACTGAAGGCTTTCCCACAGTCCTTACATTGAAATGGTTTTATTCCAGTGTGAATTTGGAAGTGCTTCTTAAGGCATGAGGAATTCCTAAACGATTTTGTACACACCTGACATTCAAAGGGTTTCTCACCAGTGTGAATTTTCATATGTTCAGTTAGTTGATAAAAGCTAGTAAATGCCTTCTCACATTCCTTACAATCGTAAGGCTTCTCCCCAGTGTGAGTTCGTGAATGTGTATTGAGGCATGAACGCACAGCAAAGGTTTTCCCACACTCCTTACAGTTATAGGGTTTCTCTCCAGTGTGAGTTCGCATGTGAATCCGAAGGTAGGAGGAACGAGTAAACGCTTTCCCACATACTGTACACTCAAAAGGCTTCTCTCCAGTGTGAGTTCTCAAATGTGCTGTAAGATAGGATGAAGAAGCAAAAGCCTTTTCACAATGGTTACATTTAAAAGGTTTCTCTCCTGTGTGACTTCTCACATGCTCAATAAGTCCTGAGCATTTACCAAACACTTTCCCACACTCTGTACACTCATAAGACTTCTGCTTTTTATGACTTCGTACATGTGTAGTAAGGCCTGCTTGTGCAGTGACAGCTTTTCCACATTCCTTACCTTCATAGCATTTCTCTAAAGCACAACAATTTGTGGATTCAGTAAAAGCTTTCTTACTTTGCTCCCACTCATAGAAATTTTCTTTACTGTGATCTTTGTTGTGTGCCTTAAGTTGCAACCGATTATCAAAAGCTTTCCCAAAACTGCTGCATTCAAAAGAACTGTCCTGAATGCATGCCCTCTGGTAAGGAATGCTTCGAATCAGAGCAAAGGCTTCTTCACATTGAATCAACACAGAAAGTTTCTCTTCAGTAGAGGTTTTCTTGAATGAAGGAAGCAAGTCTTTTCTATACCAATTATATTCAGAAATTTTTTTGGTATTGTGAATATTCATATATGTCTGAAGGCATGGATATTCACTGAAGAATTTTCCAATGTTGTTAGAGTCACAGAGCTCCCCTCCATTGTGGCTTCCTACCTGTTGATAGAGAGAGATGAATGAGTACTGAAAATTTTTTCAGACTTAAACAAAACATTATTGGGGCAACTTTAAAGCACAAAGCTTCATGCCAGAAAACAGGTTCGTGTAGGCAAAGGCTACTTCTCTCAAACATCTTTTACTCAAGCATAGACATACAATAGAATTCCAAATATTCTCTGACTTTGGAAACAAAGAAATACCTTTGTTAATCTTGCCAGTTGTGTCTCATTTGATATATCTGACCAATAACTATCCAGCTGAAGTTCTGTCTCTTTTGTCTCAAGGTCCATTTTCACTTCTAAAATAAAACATTAAAAAATACACATAGGAAAATTTATACAACAAAATGGGATGTTAAGTATTTATTCTGATATTAAACATGCTAAGCAAGCCTTCAATCCCAGTACTCGGGACGCAGAGGCATGCAGATCTCTGTGAGTTCAAGACCATCCTGGTCTACAAGAGCTAGTTCCAGGACAGCCTCCAAAGCCACAGAGAAACACTGTCTCAGAAAAAAAAAAAGAAAGAAAGAAAAGATGCTAAGCAAATAAAGCAAAGAGAATTAAACAGATTGATTATATAATTAAATTTGATTACATAACTATAATTTGGTAGTCATAAAGATCTGGGGTCAACATTCCACATGGAGGGATGCTCTCTCAGTCTGGACACTTGAGGGAGGGCCTAGGCCCTGCCTGGGACAAAATGACAGACTTTGGAGATCACCCCATGGACGGCCTCACTCTCCCTGGAAAGCAGAGTGGGGATGGAGGGTATTAGAAGAGTTGGTGGGGACAGGGCCGGAGGGGAGGGAGAGGGAACTGGGATTGACATGTGAAGCAAGCTTGTTACTAATTTTAAAAAAATAATTTAGAAAAATTAAAAACAGATCTGGGGTCAAGCTGGGTGGTGGTGGCACATGCCTTTAATCCCAGCACTCGGGAGGAAGAGGCAGGTGGATCACTGTGAGTTCGAGGTCATCCTGGTCTACAGAGTGAGTGCCAGGATAAGCTCCAAAGCTACACGGAGAAACCTTGTCTCAAAAAAAAAAAAAAAAAAAAACTGTGATCAAAATAAAATTAACAATTTTTTTCTTTTTTATTTATTGGGGGTGTGTGCATGTGTGTGCCGACAGATGTGTGCACACACATGCATGGCATGGCACAAGGTTGGAGGTTAGAAAAAAATTAATATAGATAATTCTTTCCTTCTACCAGGTGAGCTCCAGAGACCAAACGCAAATCAACAGGCTTGAAAGAAAGCACCTCTACCTAGTAAGCCATCTTGGTGGCCCCAAAACAATTACTTTTGTGTATGAAACTACATGTGATGATAAACAAAAAAGGCAGTATACAACTGCAAAAAAATAGAATCATAAACTCAAAGTTGAAAAGATCATTGTTGAAACTGTAAGCCTGGATACTCGGTGGGAGAGATGGGTCAGTTGTTAGGAGGACTTGCCACTTTTTCAGAAGACTAAGTTTCAATTCCCAGCATCCACACAACAACTCACAACTATCTGTAACTTCAGTTTCGGGGGTCTGATGCCCTCTTTTGGGCTTCTGTAGGTATCAAACACATAAATGGCATACAGACTGACATATAGGCAAAATACCCATACACATAAAATAAAATTTTTGAATATTTTTTTAATTTTAAAGAAAGTGTGAATAAAACAAATAATATATAGTAAGAGATGCTGAAAGTATCTCAAAACCTACAGTCCACAGACTTCAGTGTTCAGATTCAGATTTTTGTTTTTACATTTATTTACTTATTTTTTATGCATTTGTACGTGTGCATGTATATATGTGAATAGAGGCTTGTACCATGTGGGTTCAGGAGATCAAACTCAGGTACTCAAGTCTGGTAGAAAGTTTCCTTACCTTTTGAGCCATCTCATCAACTTTCAAGTTGGTTTTTCAAAGTTTTTTCATCGCTGGCATTGAGAATGGATTTGCTCAAAATAAAATGTATTCTTATATGAAAAAAAAAATTTCCTGTGGCTAGAGAGATGGATTAGCAGTTATAAGCACAAAACCTAGCTTCAATTCCCACCATACACATGGCAACTCAAAACTGTCTAACTCCAGTCCCAGGGCTCCACAGGCACTGCACACATGGTACAAAGATATGTATATAGGCAAAACATTCAGAAAGATAAAAAAGGGAAAAAACTTTTTCCAAAAACACTTCCTCATACTTCAAAACATGCTGAACTTGCCAATAAGAAATTATTTCAAATTATGCTTGTTGTTATTCCTGGGGTCCCACGGCCACCTACATGGCTGTTAGCATTTAGGCAAATTGCTCAATCATCCCAGGTATTAGCATTTCCCGGGATGTGCATTTGCCATCAGCATTCAGGTAAAATGCCGTCATCCCAGGGTCCTATGTGCATGCACAGCATGGTCACATAATCCATAAGTATGAATGGCATGGCTACGTAAACCCCCACGTGCATGCACTAAGTGACCTTTAAAAGCAGACACTTGCAATCCACTTCCTTTCTAGCTACGTTTCTTCCAGACAGGCCCCTCTCCCTACTCTTTACTAATTAAACTCTTAAAGTGAGTTTTGTTGTATATCTTGTGGTCTGTTCTCAAGCACAGTAAATAACAATGCTCACCCTGGAGACTACCTTGTTCCACTACAGTCAACAAATTTACTTCCTCTAACCAAGAGATCAGGCTGGATTTGACAAGCTGAACTCTTATACATGGGAAATAACATGTCAATGACAAAGTGACAAAGGCTCACAAAAGAGGTGACAAACCTTGGCATGAAAGAGCAATTAGATTTCTAATAAAACATGACAATTATTCTCTTTTTTGAGATAGGGTCAGGTAGCCCAGGCAGGCCTTGAACTCACTGTGTAGCCAAGGGCGCCCTTGAACATCTCCCAAGTACTAATTTACAGGCATGTAACACCATGCTTAGTTTCATGCAGTACTGGGAACTGAACCCTTTGTGTATGTTAGACAATCACTCTACAAATACTGCTACATCCCCAGCCCTTAGAACCTTTTTTATAAAGATTTATTTTTATTTTATGTATGTGAATATTTGCCTGTATGTATGTATGTATGTATGTATGTATGTATGTATGTATACCATATGTGTGCAGGTGCCCAGGAAGGCCAGAATAGAGTGTTAGATCCTCTGAGATTGGAATTACAGATAGTTATGAGTTGCCAGGTAGATGCTAGGAGCTGAATGTGGATCCTCTACAAAAATAGCAAGTGATCTTAATCACCTAGCCATCTCTCCAACACTTAGAATTAGTTTTAAATAGTTCAAAAGGCAAATATTCATTATTTGGAATATGTTTGATCCCTGATACTGTATTCAGGCCTAAACATGGAGTAAAGCCAGGCAATGATAGGAAACACATTTAATCCCAGAACTCAGGAGTGAGTTTGAGGCCAGCTTGGTCTACAGAGTAAGTTCCAAAACATTCAGAGCTACACAGAGAAAACCTGTCTTGAAAAAAAAAATAGATGTAAACATTACTGAATTTTTCTTCAAACTGGATATAACATAAATGGATAAAGATCTTAATGGGAAATGACTATACCAATAGCTATTTAGTTTTTTGTTTGTTTTGATTGTATTGAGACATTTTATTCCTCTGCAGCCATGACTGGCCTTGTACTTGCTATATAGCTCAGGCTGGCCTTGAGTGTGTAGCAATTCTCCTGCCTCAACTTCCTGCATGCTGGAATTATAAGTTTGTACTATCGTGCTCAGCTAGTTGTTACCTTTTGAGTGAAACATTCACGTGGAAAAACAGTGAAAACAGATGATAGGAACACAAATGATGACTTTTCTGATTCAGTATATCAAAGACAGTATAAAGTTGTACATTCTAAGGAAATGAGTGTGATGTCACTTACTAATCCTAAAAGCATTTGTTGACAACTGCCAATAGCAGATTAAAATATGCTATGGCAATGACAGTGTCTCTATCGTTCCCCATTATATTCCCAATTACATCATCAATCTTGAATAATACATGGTTCTTCCTTCAGACCCTACAGGAGATAATGGCAGTCTCACCTGCTGAGGCCAGGTTCTGATAGTTCTCCAGCATCACCTCTCTGTAGAGGCTTCTCTGAAATCCATCCAGTAAAGTCCACTCTTCTTTGGTAAAGTACACAGCCACATCCTCAAACGTCACTGAGTCCTAAATCATCACAGGCATGCCAGTTTGAGCAAAGTGACATCATCTATGTTCACTGGGGAACATAAAGGAGTCTAAGGTCCCCCATATTCTATTCCAGAGCTCAGTGGTACTAAGACACCTCTATCCATATTCTGAGGACCTCATATAATCAATCATCTGACTTGGAACTGTTTACTCATAAAGTTACACTTCTTTTTTTGTTTTGTCTTTCAAGACAGAGTTTCTCGGGATAACAGTCCTGGCTGTCCTGGAACTCACTTTGTAGACCAGGCTGGACTCAAATTCACTGAGATCCACCTGTCCCTGCCTCCCAAGTGCTGGGATTAAAAGTGTGCACCATCACCATCCAGCTAAAGTTACACTTCTACAACTTACACAGGGAGCTCTTCTCAGCTTGTTGATATATACTGTAGATGCTATAAGCACAATACAAAGACTTGCTAAATATGGCACAAGAGAAAGCTTATCCGCTAAGAGTACTTGTTGCTCTTACAGACCTGGATTTGGTTCCTAGCATATACATTGTAGTTCACAACTATCTGTAACTCTGGTTCTAGAGGATCCACCTTTCTCTTCTGGCTTCCATGGGCAGCAGGCATAAACATGGTATACATATATACATACAGGCAAAACACTCATACTCATAAAATTAAAACCTAAAAAGAAAATTTGTTAATGATGTATGAATGCATTCTTGGAAAAAGATACCAAATTTTCCTTATCATCTGCTATAATAACACTTAGAAAAATAAATTAGGTTCTCAGTACCAGGAAAGTTAAGAATAGCATGATTACTAAAACATGGTAATTTTCAGAGTAATCATTCACCAATTTGAGACACACCTTTCCAGGAAAATCCAACTAAGTTTTGACATTTTCTTTGTTGTTCTGATGGGCTGTGGGGACAACTCTACTCACAAGGAAATGTGTTCTCTATTGATCCAATTTTCACATCTTTTGGAAAGATACTAGTAAAATCCATGCTATTTTTAGATAACCTCTAATTTTTTTCATTATTACAGTCCGTCTTCAGAAATATCACTCCATCTTGTATGAATTTCATTTCTCAAGTGACTTTCCATGTCTCGATTTTCTACACTGGAATTCTTAGTCTTCTGTGAATGTACAAAATAAAAAGTATCCTAGTGGTTGATATCTTTAATCCCAGCACTCAGGATGCAGAAGCAGGAAGATCTCTGAGTTCCAAGCCAGCCTGGTCTACAGAGAAAGTTCCAGGACAGCCAGGGTTATATAGAGAAACCCTTTCTTGAATATATCCTAGTAGTTCACATCTTTACAGCACTTGGGAGACAGAGACAGAGATCTGTGAGTTCAAAGCTAATCTTGCCTACATAACAAGTTCCAGACTAGCTAGAGGTACATCGTGAAACCCTAGAAAAATCGAAATGAAAAATCTAAAAAGAAATGAACAATGGGGAGCTGACAGTATAGCTCAATGACAACACACAGAAAGGGATCCTTCATTAACTTACCATTTCTATGTCTCAGGAATACGTCCTCTCAGAAATCTTGTTGATATATTAAATGTTTGGATTTTTTTAAAGCATTTTCCTGTTCTGAAATTTTACAGACAAAAAAAAAAAAACAAACAAACAAATTTCAGCTTGTGTTACGATAAATCTTTCCGCCAAAAGCTGCCTGAGCCCTACCGCCACGTGTGAGCTTTATGCCAACCGCCCGCACGAGTTAGGCCCAAATGAATACACAGAAACTTGTATTAGGTTCAAAGCTGCTTGGCCAATGACTAGGATTCTTCATCTGTTAGCTCAGTCTTAATTATCATAAATCTATATATTTTATAAGACTTATCAGACGCCTTATTGGTGTCCCTCCTTGCTGGTGGATCACATTGTGCCGCTGGAGTTATTTAATTTTGAACCAATTAGCAGTATAGTATGGGCTTTCTCAATCTTTGACCAAATTAACAATTATATCAGGGGCTCTCATTAAATTTAAACATTGTGTCACCTGTATCTTAAATACAAAAAACATATGCCTCACTTTAATTGCACCATTGTTTATACAGAATCCATTTTCCTAACATATTCCATATAAGGCACAAAACTCTATTATAAAAATTAGAGTTGATGGGCAGTGGTGGTGCACACCTTTGATCCTAGCACTTGGGAGGCAGAGGCAGGTGGATCTCTGTGAGTTTCACGCCAGCCTGGTCTACAAAGTGAGTTCCAGGACAGCCAGGCCGTTACACAGAGAAACCCTGTCTTGAAAAAGAATTAAATAAATAAGTAAATAAATAAATGTAAATTGATGGGCTTGGGGGGCTCAGCTGCCTACTTACTCACTCATACAAGAGTGAGAATCCTAATTATAATACCCTGAACCCATATAAAAGCTCAGTGGGTGTGGTGGCTTGAATGAAAATGGCCACCATAGGCTGATAGGAAGTGTCACCATTAGGAGGTGTGGCTTTGATAGAGGAAATGTGTAACTAGGGATAGGCTTTGACTTCTCAGAAGCCCAAGCCAAGCCCAGTGTTGCTTTCTTCCTGCTACCTCCTGATCTGAACTTAGAACTCTCAACTACCTCTTTAGGATCATGTCTACCTGCGTGCCCCATGTAACCCACCAAGACCACAATGAACTAAACCTCTGAAGTATAATCCAGCCCCAAATGAATGATTCCCTTTATTAGAGTTGCTGTGGTCATGGTTTTTCTTCACAGCAATAAAACCCTAACTAAGACAGAAATTGGTAGTTAAGTAGTTTGTGTAGCAAATAACTTGCTCCAAACTCTGCCATCAAGAGAAGTACAGTATGCTAACCAAACAGCCTAAAACAAAAACTAAAACTTAACCAGGCACTGTGACGCATGCCTGTATGTCATTCCAGTATTGGGAGGTGTATGCAGGAGGATCAAGAGTTTGAGGCCAGCCTGGCTAAAAAAGCAGGGCAGGACATCAAAACAGCTCGGCAGGTTAAGGTATCTGCTGCCAGGTCTGACCGTGTAAATTAAATCTCTAGAACTCGCAGGATAAAGAGACAGAGAATTGTCTCTGACTCCTGCAAATTGTCATCTCCCCTATACATATGCACAGGCACATACCTACAATGATAAGTAAAGTGGTATTTAAACAGGAAAACCACAATTTTATTCTACTTGAAGTATGTCTTTGTTCCATTTTATACAAAAAGATGGCCTTTCTTGTTTTTCCCATTTTCATAGTTAAGTTAGCGACCCTTGCAGCATAACCTTTAATCACCAAGTCTGGCACATTGATTGAGGTTATCAGAATAAATATATTTTTGGCAGAAACAAGACTGACTCATGAAATCAAGTGCTTATTACTTTTCACTGAAGGTGTAACTGATATCAGCAGTGTGTTCACTCCCTTCTCTTTGCTCTATTTGTTCTCCACCAAACAACAAAAGAATCATGCAGTTTTAGGATGACTGCAGTAACGCATTGCCTCCCATTTGCAAAAATAGCTCATAAGACAAATTATAAGGACATTAAAGTGATTCTGGCAGGTTCAAAAAGTTATGAAAAGGAAAAAGGGTGGGAAGGGGAAAGGAAGGAGAGAAGGAAGTCAGTTCTTTATTATAGGAGCATTAGCCAGCTTTGTTAACACTTCCTGTGATGTTTGGACCATGTGGTGAGGCCAGTAGCATATCCAGGAATTCTAATACAAGAAACTGTCAATGCTGACCTACTTACTCACCATCGAAACAACAAATGACAAACTATGGAGGCTCCCATGAAAACAGAAGATCTCGCAGACCCTGAGCCTGTTACCTTCCATATGGAAACAACATCTAAACTTGGCAAGAAACTGAGAGAATGGAACCCAAACTTGAGTCCTGTGATACATTCCACCTCAAGTTAGGCAAGGGCTTGTCTGCCCTCAGTCCCTTGACATTGTCAGGTTGCTGAAAAACACCATCCCTACCTAGAACATTTGACTACCTAGAATGTCCCCTGTCCCTTAAGATTAACTGAGTGACTGATGGGAATGTATAGACTATACAAATGGCACTGCTGACAATCATATGTAATAGAGCTTAAAGGGAACTCTGTTCTTTCCACTCATTAGCAAGGACATCCATAATAAAGGACAAGACCTAAAAACAAAACAGTTGACCAAAGGTCAAGCAGTCATCATAGTGTTTAATGTTCTGTCAACAGCTTGTCTGAACTTTAGATTTATGAGTTACTGGACAATTACTTTAAAACTCTCTGCTTCAAGCCCTGTGAGGTGGCATATGCCTATAATCCCAACACTTGAGAGACAGTGGTAAGCAAATCACTATGAATTATATATATAGTGAGTTCCAGGCCAGCTAGGGCTACACAGTGAGACACTGTATTGAAACAGGAAAACTAAACAAAACAAAAACAAATGTATACTCTTCATGGGGTATGGAGAAATGTTCAGTGGTTAAGAGCACTTACTGCTCTTATAAAGGATCCGCCTTTGGTTCTTCAAGTGGGTCACAGTTGCCTGTAATTTTGCTCCAGGGGATTTCTAGGCTGGCTGTCTTCTGGCTTTCTCAAGTGCATGCACACACACACACACACACACACACACACAGGTATCTTGGACCTCTTTCTTGACAGTTAACAAAATATAAAGGCCTTGTCAAAACATCTCTTGTTTCTGTTACTCTCAGTGAGCTTCTTTCTTTCTTTTTTTTTTTTTCCCCTTTGGTTTTTCGAGACAGGGTTTCTCTGTATTACTTTGGAGGCTGTCCTGGAACTAGCTCTTGTACAGCAGACTGGTCTCGAACTCACAGAGATCCGCCTGCCTCTGCCTCCCCAGTGCAGGGATTAAAGACATGTGCCACCAACAACCGGCTGTGAGCTCATTTCTTAATGTTCAGCTAAAGATTCTAATTCCTTAATTTCCTATCTGTGGGAAACTCACATTCCTTCTCTGTTGTTTCC